TTCAAAAAGAAACATTCCCTCTTTTCTCTCTAAATTTATAGGCCCATTTATTTTCTGGGTACCCTTTCAAAATGCTCCACCAGACCCCTGTGAAGTCTGCGGGAGCTCTACGAACTGTCTTCCCTGAATAACAAACAGGCTTGGGTTCAGCTCTGCCTTTCCCTCCCGATGGCTGCATTCCACGGCTCTGCGCAAAGAGCCAAGTTCTCAAATATTAATTGATCCCCGATCAGCCTTTGATCCCAAAGGCATGAGTCATCATTGACCAAGACACGGGTCTCCTCGGAGATGGTTCATTGCTATTGATTCTTCAAAGCCTGTGCCAAAATCCTAGCAACAGAATCAGAGAGCGGTAATTGGTGAGATCAAAGAGCAAACTGAAGAAGGGCAGAAGAGGAGCAGGCTCTGACCCTCTTATTTTCATTTACATCTCTATGTGACGGCAAAGGCTGAAATGAACGGGAAGTGTGCCCGACGGGCAGGACAACCACAGCACAGGTCTCCTCCCTAGCTGTCACCACAAGAGAGGAAGCTGACAAACAGGGAGGGCTCAGAACAACCCGGCCAACGCTGGCGAACATACTTGGCAAGCATGCTCTGAATTTCAAGTGGACACAAATAAGCCCCTCCACATTTAAGAAATCCATCAGTTTGGTTATTTGGATTGACTACTTCCCAGTAAATAATTCAAGGGTGGTTACAGAAATATATATATATATATACATATGTATGTATTTATATATATAATTAATCATAATAATGTAGGTTAACTAATTCTTCTTTGAAATACTGAGACCAAAGTGTTTTCAAATTTCAAATATTGTCAGATTTTTTTAGTATTTGCATGCATATAAGGGGTGCGCCTTAGACATGGAATTCAAGTGTAAACATTAAATTCATTGATGTTTCATAAGCACCTTATAAGTACAGACTAAAGATAGGTTCGTGCAATGCTGTTAGTGTCTCTGTGTTTTGACCATAACCTATCGCATGACTTCAGGTACAGTGAGGATGAAAATACAACAACTCAAGCAAACACATCAATGGAGGAATTTATAGGACATGGAAATTACATCTCAATAAAACTGTTAAGATACCTGTGGTTTCTAATACACGAAAAATATACATTAAGACCATGAGGCGATAACAGCAATCCCAAGAATTTTAATTGGTGGCATGCGCCCATGAAATCAGCACTAGAAATCCTGATGTCTGAGGGTCTCGAGTTCAAGGACAGCCTGATCTACATAGTGAGCACCTGCCACAGGCAAAAAGGTGAGGTACCACACAATACATGCAGATGCAGCCTTGATGTGCTTAAAGGAGCCACTTCGGAAACTGACAACATCCTTCTCAGTTTTCCCTACTGGGATTCCTGAACCAAACTCAAGATACACGTTTAGTGTGCACACCAAATTCAAGAATTATCTACGTTTGTTAGAAGGGGGTCTTAACCAGACAGCTGATGATTCCGCACAAGCATCTCCAGTTCAGGCTGGTCCCGCATCTTACTGTCACTAAGGTGATATCAATCTTACGAGCATCTGCATCCTTGTATGAGAACAACAACCGTGGGCAAACTGTAGTGATGCCAGCTCGTAAACCCAGGAGTCCAAACAGGGGCCCGGACAGTGAAGTCGACGAGACTCAGCAGCTCTGCCTCCTCATGGAAAACATCCTTCAGATGTGAAATATTTATGCTCCTCTGAGAATCCAAACTAACGAGCATCAAATTTCAAAACAAATGATCATTATTTAGCGATCTTGACAAGAAATCTCACAAAATCTTACCTATAAACCTTTCTATTTTGAGTTTAAATCCAATGTCTTCATTCTTACAGGTTCTATTTGCACATTTTCCCCCACAGACACACAGATTACGGGAAGAAACAGCTACCAAAGAGCTTTAATAAACCCACTTACAACTTACAGTTCACAGGGCTACTGCAACATGCATCACCCCCTAATCCTCAGCCACCAGCCTGCCGTTCCTTTCTGTGTCTCCTAAGGCAACTCATGAAGCCATTGGGTATGCGTGTGCTTACCTACAGAGGAGGAGGAACCAGACTGGCATGGGAAGCTGACTCCACAGGAACGCACGCCACCACAACACCAACACACATACATCGCAGGACATAGGCACAGAAAGGCTAAGCATAAAATCTTTATGTCTGTGATAAACACACAGCCTGCAACCCAGTGGAAAGCAAAAGGCTGCATTTGAGGAACTCATATGCCAGCCAGAGGCCCTATGTAGAAGGAAGAAATCTAGGATGCAGGCTTAGGATGCTTTGGGTAAGCCTGGCTGCAGGTTCTCTCATCTGTACCCACTGAAGCACGTGTCCCTGCAGACAGCTAGCTCTAAGAAACCGGAAGGCAGGACATATCAGGGTGCTCAGCACTCAGGACAGGTGCAAAACTTTTGGGTTATCTCCTGTCCTCCTTTTACATGGTGACTCAGAAGCCATGAAGATACACGTTAGCAGACCCCGGGGGCACGTCTCAAAGTTGCAGCCTTGGGTACAAGGACTTGGCTAAGTTCCAGGTCTAATAATCATATTCTGTTTTCTGAACTTGCCCAGATGTTTCACCTAGTTATAGCCTCGTTCACTTTTTTTTTATTTTATCTTTTCAGGAAAAAAAAAAAGTGGGAAGATTCTCTGTGAATCCCCCCCACTACCCCATCTTGCAGATACAGAAGAAAAGGTCAATGTGACATGTGACCAAAATAATGGCAGTTCGGGTCATGAATGAGATGCTGCACATGGGGCCAGCTTTAGAGGACCGGAAGAAGACATCCGAGAGAGTAGAGGCCTCCCGTAGATGAAAATGAGGCAACTGTGTCGTGCTACCTCTGTGGGATAATGACCGCACAGGTGGCCCCTATAGCTACAGCGGACGGTCTAATCATCGATTCTAATTCAGGCAACTGAAGAAAATGCTGAGCTCTCCTTGCGAGTGCGTGCATTTGAATACTGTGGATCTAACCATTCTTTCATGGGTTTGGACAGGGGGCATCCGCAGAGACCCAGGAAATGTAGCAACTTGCCAAGTTCTTTGCATGCCAGGCATTCTAAAAATAAAGTAGGCTGCCATCGCTCAGATGGCCGAAAATGTAAACTCTGAAAGTATCACTCTTGAGAAAGGATACAGGGGAAGTCAAATGTTCATGCATCATTGGTGGGATGCAAAGTTATAGTATCAGTCTTGGGAAAGGATACGGGGAATATAAAATATCCACACACCATTGGTGGGGTGCAAACTTAAAATATCAGTCTTGGAAAAGGATACAGGGGAAATAAAATGTTCACGCACCATTGGTGGGATGTAAACTTACACTATCATCAGTCTTGAGAAAGGATACAGGGGAAATAAAATATCCACACACCATTGGTGGGGTGCAAATTGATTCAGATACGTCTCTCAGCAATTTGGGAGCAACTGATAAATCTAACACCGCGTCTCCCCACATTCCAGGGACTTGGCTTCTTAGACAGATACACATATTTTTCTCACAGACACACACACAAGCTGGACCACAATAATAATTTTAATAAACAAAAGCAGAGGAGGAGGCGTCACCAAATGTTCAAAAGTAAGTACAAGTTGTGCTATGTTCCTATGGCTGAATGCTAAGGATTCAGCTTAAAAATGTAAGTGGAAAGAGGAAGAAAACCCAAATAAGACTACATGAACAGAAACAATTAGGAACAAAGGAGCCTTTACAGAGTATATACCATGGTCTCTCTCTGCCATATTTACTATTACAAAGCCTTTACATTGTACTTGTTATTGTAAGTAGCAAAGAAATGATTCAAAGACTCAGGAGGATGCAAAGACCTCCTATTAGGGCATCCATGGATTCTGGGTTCTGTGTACCAACTGTCAGTGGGCATTATGGAACAGAAACACAGAAAAATGTAGACAAATGAATACCACTTATTAGAATATATGGAAGGCAAAACTAACAGTGTTGCTATACATACTACTTATGAGAAACATAGTTCACACATGTACAAACACACCTACACACATGCATTCACACATATACACATACACCCACACATATACATATATGTATGTACACATGCATATTCATACATACACATGCATACAGATATACATACACATAAGCCCACATGAAAGCAATATACATACACGTGTGGGGGGGTGTACACATATACATATACACATATAGGTTGTTTTTTGTGTTTCACTACCCTGCATAGTAGATTCCTTAAAAAAAAATCCAGGCCTGGATCCCATAACAATGGGAATACTACCCCTACTTTCCTCAATTACATCAATTGATTGAAGGGAGTAGGCATTTGACCCATCCTGAACGATCCTGTCCAGGTTTTGTACCTAAGGCAAGGACAGAAGGGTTCAAGAGCAGCGGAGAAGTTCCAGATCCTGGACAAACAGCCACATCCCAAGGGCCAAGAGGAGGATATATAGCCAGCTCCTTTGCCACGGTGGGACCTGAGGTCTGCTTACTTGGCCTCAGCAACATCTCAGCTTTCTATAAAGGTCCTTTCTCCCATACTGAACATTTGTAAAGTACAAATTTGTAAAGAGAAGGGACAGGCAAATTTGGCGCTGACAGATGGCCAAGGAAGGGACTTTATATTCGGTAGGTACTAAGTCTATTGGGTCCATACTGTTTGGAACTGTGTGACAAAAACTTGGGAACAGGGATAGAAACATCCTTGATTTGGGAATGGAACATGCCAACCTGCCACATTTAATTCTGTGCTAATCTTGAAAATAGAAATCCAAATGTCCCTCACACCTGCTTTGCATTTTCAGAGCTATCAAAGTATCTGCATTTGCACACCAACTTCACACAGCGGGGCATCCACAGCTGGACCCGCATCCAGAGCCTGCCACGAAACTCTTGGCAGGACAGCGTCTCTCTGGGTTTCCTCCCGTCTTTTGGTCTATGGTGTAAATGTGTCCCAGTGATTGAACCCCAACATTTAAAAAACAAAGTTACTTACTGCATGGATGTCCTAACACCTTCACTTCATCAATAGCAAGGTAGCCTTGGTGTCCAGAGGTTACCACTTCAAAAATCACCTGGAAAATTAAGAGAGATTTGACACATGATTAATAAGAACTCAGAGAGGGAAACTGGAGTTCAACCTGAAGGTCAGAAATGCAAAACAGCCACCCATTGGCTCCTACCTCTACCTCAGTCCAAAAAGGCGATCCTGCCTCCAGGAGTCTCAGAATGAGACTGAGGGCTGACTCCTCCCATTTTATAATCCCCTCTAGGGGTGGGATTAAAGGTGTGCACCACTGAAATTAAAGGCACCACCCAATTTCTATGGCAACTAGTGTGAGTACTGGGATTAAAGGTGTGTGTCACCACTGCCTGGTCTGTAAGGCTGACCAGTGGGGCTGTTTTACTCTCAAATCTTCAGGCAAGTTTTATTTATTAACACACAAATGAAATGCCAACACAGAGATTAATGTTACCCACTCATTTCTGTAAAGATTTTAGCAAGAGTCTCCTTTATTATGAGGAATAAGTGTTCACTCATCTCTCCATTTACTTTACCCAACAACTGAAAAGGAGTTGGTGGCTAACACCTGCCTACCAGTGTTCCACGGCTCTAAACCTCAAGTACAAGTAAGGCTGAACCTGGTCTAGTCCAAGGAGGCAAAAGGGCAGAAGCAAGGTTGGGCAGCACCTGCCTAAGGAATCACCTATGCGGTGATGCGAACCCAAGGGTGAGGATGGATATGGGAAGAAAGCACTTTGGAGTCATTCTGAAGAGTGGAGTAAAATACCAAGGTCTTAAAGAAATCAGAAAAGTGAAATAATGCTATGTAAACTGTCACACAAAATAATAAAGTTTTCCTATCGTGATACCCATTCCCCCACACACATATTGTGATATCTTTATTGAGAGGCAACGTTAAGATCGGAAGTTCTTTAAAAAACATTTCTGAAAGTGACTGACCAGAATGAGACATTTGGGATTCTAGGTTTTTACGCTTCAGAGGAGGATGAATCAGGGGGAGGGCTAAGGAAGAGGTGAGATGAGGGGGAGGGCTAAGGAAGAGGTGGAATGAGGGGGGGTGATGTAGGTGGGTCTTCTTTCTATGTGTTGCTTTCATTGGTTAATTAATAAAGAAACTGCTTGGCCTGATAGGTCAGAACATAGGTGGGTGGAGTAGACAGAACAGAATGCTGGGAGGAAGAAGGCAGTGAGGAGACGCCATAGCTCTCCTCTCAGAGATGGATGCAGGCTAGAATCTTTCCCGGTAAGCCACCACCTCGTGGTGCTACACAGATTATTAGAAATGGGTTAATCAAGATGTGAGAATTAGCCAATAAGAGGCTAGAACGAATGGGCCAGGCAGTGTTTAAATGAATACAATTTGTGTGTTGTTATTTAGGGGCATGAGCTAGCCAGGTGGCGGGAACGTAGCCTGCTGCTCCTTCTACAGGGGAGGACTAAGGAAGAGGGGGGATGAGGGAAGGAGTGAGAGGAGAAATGAAGGGTAAGAGCTTGTTTTAGGCGAGCCACACTATGCGAGAATTATGAAAAATTTAGAAAACCATGGGAAAACAAACTTGAAGAACAAGAGTAGTAGAGGAAGAGAAAAGCAAAGATAAAAGAGAAAGAAAGAAGGAAGGCATGCAGGACAGGAGAAATCAAAGTAGCAGCTCCCCTTAAGAAAAGTGTAGAACACTTAGGATGGCTAAGGGCGATGCCCTAGATTGATGACTTTAGCACCCCTTTATGCCTGCACGTGTTTTGCGAGGGTATTTCTTGAGTGGGATAAGTAATTGGGACATTGACGCTAAACGTGGGTGGCATAATCTCCCAGGCTGGGGGTCCAGATGGAGGACAGGGGAAGCAGGAAGTTTGGTAGGCAGGCACCCCCTTCTCAGCTTCTTGGCTGCCACAGTGGCAGCTGCTGCGTTCTACTTATCCTCACCGCAGTGAGGTGACAAGAGAAGTCGTCAGGAAACATGGTCACCTCTCTTCTATGTCTATGTTGTCTATGGTAAACATCTTTTACTGTGTAGCTAACAGAACCTAGCACCACTAGATGGGCTATCGACCATATATGCCCGGACCCAGCACACCATAGACCGCTACTCTGCAATGAAAAAGCACTAAATATTGTCATAATCAATAGCACAAATGAATCTTCAGGGAATTGTGCTGAATTTTTTTAAAAAGGGCAACTTTACAAGATTACACCCCACCTTATTTTATGAATGAAATATTCTGAATTGTCAAAATTTAGGAATTGAAGCCAGACTAATGGGTGCCAGGACTAAGAGATGGGGAGAGGGCACAGGAGTAGGGTGGGCAGTCTTTGAAAAGGGCAACCTAAGTCATCTCTGTTAGTTTCTCTAACAGCATTTTGTGTGTGTGTGTGTGTGTGTGTGTGTGTGTGTGTGTGTGTGTGTGTGCAGGAATACATGCATACATGCAGCAACATGCAACTTTTAGAACTAAACATTTCAACATGCCAATACCCAATTATGATATCATACCACAATTGGCAAATTATTCCCGCTTTGGGAAACAGGACGACCTTCACTGGTTTTCACTGTTGTGTGTCACACTGATCACAAAGCAGTTTGGTTTTAAAAGTAGTTACGTAACTATCTAAGGAGACGTTACAAGCACCATGCAGGTACCACTCCACAAACATCAGTTTATATATAGCATAATCCATACTCTATTACATGAATTTTTAATTAAAAATATTAATAAATAGAACCATATTTTCCAGAACTGTATTTCCACAGAATGAGTCGTCTGGATATGATGTATCTGTCTGAAGCAGGCGTTGAGTCGGAGTCGCAGTAATCCTCAACTCCATCTGTTTCCACACCTTATGTTGTCATCCTTGCACACTGAGCAAAATCTTGGATCCTAAGACAGCTTTGTTTGTGTTTATGCAAAACCAGAGACAGCAACCCACAGAACCCCAGATGGAAATGCTAAAAGCAGGGGTCCAGACTGCAAGCACAAAACCCAGAAACCTAGGCTCGCAGCTCTGCACCAGAAAGCCCTGATAATAAAACATAACCCACTCGGGGGAAGAGAGGGGCCCTGCAGAAGGGCAGAGATGAAATAAAACTCTGTCCTGTTCACGAGTTTAATATGTTGTTTTCCACTGATGAGCCAACAGAAAAGAAGAACTGCCTAGATATTCCTGCGGTGGGACCCGGATAATTTATTTCTCTCTGTCTGAGTTCTGTAAGAGGATGAACGAGGGACAAAAAGATGGATGTCAGAAGCAGGCATAAGAAAATAATTTTGAGGCCCTAAAAGCAGTTCTGGCTAAGAGTGGCCAGCTGCAGCACCAGAAGTGAAACAAGGGGCTGTAGAGAGAACAGCCAGGGGGCTCGGGGAAGTGGCACCCGCGCACTCCAGCCAGGGAAACCGGCGGGATAACTGCACACTCTCCCTGTCCCTCTGCTCCTCCAGTGCAATCTTCCAGTCTCATCCCCAGTCTCCTCACTCTGTGCCCCATTCCCCGGGGACTAAGCAGGTCCGGATGGAACACTTCATGTTCCTACAGCGGGTAACCGCCCCTCAGTCTGTCCCCCACCCAACCTAGCTCACCCTCAGTTCTAAGTGTCAGATCGCCACACCTAGAGTCATATTTCATCTGAATCCCCTGGTGCCACAACCTATAAAAAGCCCAGAAGAATTTCCTACCAAGAAATACACAACCACACTTCCTTAAGAACCAGAGCAGGCAACAGAAACCAAGAAACAAAACACCCACCCAGTGAAGATAAGCCCAGATAGCTACACCTAGAATCACAATCCTGCCAAGCCCAGGTGTGTAAATGCCAGTGAACAAACACAGCAACAGCCAGGACAATATGTCTCCACTAGAGCCCAGCAACCTTGCCACAGCCCCAACCCATAATATAGAGTTCATTGTTAAATATTGTGGATATTTTAAAGATTCCCAATATATAATTCCAGGTTGCTTTTTGTAAAGACTATGGAATACCAAAGTAACCCAGGCTGTTGCCAAGACTGTAAGTTGCTTTCCATAAACTGACAATACCCATGAGTTGAACGTGAAAAAGTTGATTTGGGTCTACATGGAGCCTTAACCCATACATGCTAGCATCTTCAGTACAGAAAAGTTCTCTACCAAAAGGGAAATGTGAAGACCAACCCGGCCACAAAGCCCTTGGATCTCCAATGAAATCCTACCTGCAAGACACACTAGTGACACAAGCTGTGGGAGTAACCAACCAAAATCTAATTTGACTTAAGGTCTACTCCATAAAATGGAACCTGTATCCACACTGCTTGGGTGACCACGAACCTGAGAACAGATAGCCCGGGGATCTAGGGAAAAACCAAAGACTACTGCTATAAAAATATTTTAAGTAGGATGAAGGTTCTATGATATTAATTAAGGTAGTCATTAATCTGACTACAGGGCAAGGCCAGTTCGGGAACCCTCTCCATTACTGCCTAGGGTCTTAGCTGGGGTCATCCTTGTGGATTCCTGGGAATTTCCCTAATGGCTCCCTCATTCAAGGCATCTCTTTCCTTGTTCTCCCTCTCTGTCCTTCCCCCATCTTGACCATCCCATTCCTTCATGTTCCTCCTTCCCCTTCCCTTCCTCCTCCCCTTCTACCCCCCCCCCTTCAGCAATTGATGGAAGCAGATGCAGAGATCCACAGCAAGCACTGGGCTAAGCTCCTAAAGGGACGAGGGGAGGATTTGATCTGCAGTCATGGGCGGCATGTTGGCGTTTACCAAACACAAATGAATACATTGAAAACATCCTGTTAGCCGGGCTTGGCTTTCTTCAGGGTACTTTTAACCAAGACTTTTTAAAGAAAGCCTAGTTTAAACTTTTATTGATCGACTAAGCAGCTGAAACACTCCTACAGCCCAGGCATCTTTTTGTATTCACTATGTAGTTTTCCAAAGCCAACCGTGATGAGTACCAACCGGTCTACCACTTGGGGACCAGTAGCTTGACTCAGAAAGCTTGGATAATTTTTCTAAAGTCACACAATATTTAGCACGACTCGTATGCAACTTGAAGCTATTTTCCCTCCAAGT